ACATGTTGTGTCATTTAAAAGGATAAACATTTTTTCGTTATGTTTAATTTTAAAAGCTTGGAGTTTTCTTTCTTGTTGGATAAAAATTTAATATTTAACTAGCCATTCTTTTTTTTTTTTGGGTAAATAAAAGGCTAAACGCCCAAAAAAACAAAAAACAACAACCTAGTCAATGACTAAAACACGATCTCTCCCAACAGAAGAGAGATCAGCTAAATACAATAAATAAATCCCCGTAGGAGGGGTCTCACAAAAAACTTTATCTACTACCTGCTCAGTATCAAGAATATAGTTAGCCATCCAATCTGCGCAAGTATTACTCTCCCTGTAAATATGACTAAACTTAATTCTCCAATCTTTCTGTAACTAAGTTCGTATCCGAGTGACCAGATGACCCTCACGGACTGCTGCACCATTGTTGGTGAGCACAGAGATCGCACTCTTTGAATCACTTTCAAGCTCAATATGTCTATAGCCTTCACTCCACGCAATTTCCAATCCACGAAGAATTCCCCATAATTCAGCTTTGAAGGCTGAACAAGAACCAAGCTTAAAAGCAAATCCTTTTAACCAGTCACCAGAAGCGTTTCGAATAATACCTCCACAAGCAGCTGGTCCTGGATTGCCTCTAGCAGCACCGTCAGTATTAATTTTAACAAATCCAGCATCTGGAAACTGCCAATAAATGCTTACTGTCATAGTTCTTTTACCCATGCGGTGGCTATTAGGCGAGTTAAAAGCTTGAACAACATCCCTCACCAGATTTCGTATTATTTGTTTCTTTATAGACAACTCCAAAACAATATTACCATGTCGAGCCTCATTTCTCCAGCACCAAATCTTCCACACTGCAAGAATAAAAAAAGACAACCAATGATCCGATAAAATAATCCCCCCTGTTCCTCTCAAATTGTACTCCAGCCATTGTTCCAGATCCGATGCAAAAAACGTAGCTCGAAGATGATTTGGAACCAGATTAAACCACAAATTTTTAACTTCCAAACAATCTCTAAGAGCATGAATAATAGACTCACTTGCAACATGGCAAATTGGGCAGGGTTCGGCTCCTCCAACCCACCGGTTTATGGTTTCCATAGTAAGGAGCTTATGGTGCATTATTTTCCACATCAGAATTTTATCTTTCTGAGGTCCATTCCAGTTCCATAATAAGGACCACAAAACACTATGACCCACACCCGCCTGCTCCTCAACAGTCAGCCATCCGTAGACATCTTTAACTGCAACGGCAGAACTGGTACCAATTAACCATCTTCTTCAGTCTGGTCCATCAACACTAGACGGAGGAAGAATGCCTTGAAGCATCTCAATAGCACTAGGTTGGATCCAGGAATTTAAACCAGCATAGTCCCACTCACTAGAATTCAACACAAAATCTGCAACTTTAGAATTAAGATCAATGTTTGTAATACCTGGCATACGCAAGTCTTGCATGCATAGGCCATTAGTGAGCCATTGATCACACCAGAAGCGAATGTCTTTGCAATCCCCAAGCTCCCAAACCAATAACTCTTCTAATTTCTTCCACATTCTGCATAAATTTTTCCAGAAATTAGAATCTCCATTTCTTTCCACAAAAATCATCTCCTTCCTGCTGTGAGACATGTATTTAGCTTTAAGAACTCTAACCCATAGCGGTTCCTGATCAGAAAACATATTCCAAGCTTTTTTAGCTAAAAAAGCATCATTCATAACTTCTAATTTCTTCAAGCCCAGACCACCAATCTTCTTAGGCGAAGTGATCATATCCCAGTTAATTAAATGATGCTTCCTGGCTCCCTCTTTATCCCCCCAAATAAAATCTCTTTGAATTCTTTCAATATCTTTACAAACAGAAACTGGAATCTTACAGCTCTGCATTTGAAAATAAGGAACAGAAGCTATAACAGATTGTGCCAAAGTGATTCTACCAGCTTGAGAAAGGCATTGCATATTCCAGTTGTTAAGCCTTTCTTTCACCTTCCCCACAATATTTGCATAGAGCTCCTTACTAACTCTTCCATGTTGCATCATGGATCCTAGATATCTCCCCACATTTTTAACTCTCTTGAACCCACTTTTATTCACAATCCTATCAACCAGCTCTTCCCTTGTATTTTTTGAGAAGAAAATTGATGTTTTTTCCACACTCAATTTTTGACCTGAAACTTCTTCAAACAAGTGAAGACACTTTATAAGAATATCAATCTGATCCTCCGAAGCTTCCATAAAAATCATGAGATCATCTGCAAATGCTAAATGGGATATTTCTGGTCCTCCTTTCCCAACCTGCATGCCTTTCCAAAGGCCACCATCTACTGCAGTAGATATAATATGAGCCAGCTTTTCCATTGCAATTACGAACAAATAAGAAGATAATGGACTCCCTTGGCGAATACCTCTTGACGGCAAAAATCAGCAGTTTTACCACCATTCCAGAGGACATTGATCTTTGAAGAACTAACACAACTCATGATGAGATTTATGAATTGATCTGGCAACGAAATTTCCTCCAAAGTCCTTTTTAGGAAATTCCAGCTTAATCTATCATATGCTTTGACAAGATCTATCTTCACTGCCATGAAAGTCTTTTTAACTCTCATCTTATGCATAGAATGAATCAATTCTTGAACTATTATGATGTTGTCTTGTATCTTCTACTATATGGTTGTTTTAGTTTAATCGGTGATTTCCACTCTGAGTTGTTGTGTTGTATAGATAATTTTGTCGCGTGGTCTTGATTGAATTAATCTATTTTGATGAAACAAAGTCAGTCCTTATTCATAAAGGATTCAGTTATTAAAATGTTTTTCTTTCAATAATAATCATATAATTTGGTTTAAAATGCTGCCAATAATATGTGTTAAAAATTTAGGTCATTCAATGAGTTATTAGTTCAACCAACCGTTTGTGATTAAATTAAATTTATATAATAATATATAATACATATAAAATTAAAAATATTTTATACAATAAATGAAATTAATCTAATGATCTAAGGGGAAAATGTGTCATTTTAAAGGACACAAATTTAGGCCTTTTAAGAAAAAGATAGACATAAAACGTATGAATTTCACCTTTATTTTTTTTAGTGAGATTGACATCTTTTTCTTAAAAGGGTATAAGTTTATGTCTTTTAAAAACACATATTTTTTGCTATATCTAATCACATAAAAAATACTAAATCAGATAAGAGGTAATTTTTATCAAGTTTGTACAAAGTATAAGTAGGTTTGTAAAAATAAATTACAAAAAATTCTGGTTAACCTATTTACCCGTTTAATATAAACAGGTTGATCTTAAAAATCATTAGCGTTGTAATTTTAACTTAATTCATTTAGCATATAGGTTAAGGGAAAAACTAATATTATGTAACATGATGTAAAGTTTTTTACCCACTCACTCATTAGTTTCCGCACCATCATTTTTTATTTTTTGTTTTTATTATATGCATGGGACTCACATACATATTTGTTTGAGTAGGAAAATGTTTTAAGATTATGTTACATGATACTAGTTTTACCCGTCAAGCTAATTCATTTATCTTGTGAGACAGGTCGGTTTATTTATTTATTTAACAATAATGCAACTACGATACTTAACAACAATAATGTTAATTTTTTTAAAAAAATAAAATAAACTAATTTAAAATTTTCAACTAACAAGTTGTTTAATACTCCATAAGACTAAGAGACCTACAAGACTGTTAAAACAGGCTTGACTCGATAGGCTGATCTGCCTCACACGACAAATGGGGTAGGAGGCTGAGTTTTACAACTCACTCTCAAAAATAAGGTAGCCTACTTGTCTCACCCGTCAAATGGGGTAGGGGGCTGAATTTTACAATTCACTCTCAAAAGTAAGGTAGGGTGGGCTGATTCATTTTTTGGCCGATTGATAATGGGAAAGAGCAGGTAATTATAAAACATATTCGTGCCGGCGGGCCAATCTGTCCCGCCTGCCAAATAAGGAGTGCCAGACTGAGTTTTTTAACCCATTTTTAAAAGTAAAATAAGACAGACAGACTTGTTTTTTGACCGATTAATAGTTGGGCGGCCCACTTTCCCATGTGCATAATTAGGCTCTTTGACCCATTGGGGTTTCTTGGGATTTTAATTTGTCAATGTAGTATTTGATTCACAGTATTTACTAATTGGGGTCGTTGAGTGACGTGAGGGGGACCCGACGTCACTCACACTTCTTTTATTTTTATTTTTATTTTTTTAATGAGTGTCGCCCCCCTCCCCTGGAGAACTCACACGATTGTGCCAAGCGGCACAATTCCGTTTGTCCAATTATCGTAAAACTTCGGAAGGCCAAAACTTTTGACTCTGGTATCCAAATGACACCTCATTTGACATATTTTGTCTCTCACAAACATAATTTAAATTTATAAAAAAATAGAACTATTGTTGTAAATTTGAACTATGTTAATGAAAGATAAAATATGTCAAATGAGATATCATTGCATAGATTTCGAAAAGTTATGTGAAATCAAAAAAATAATAATCTGATTTGGATACCCGAGTCAAAGTTATGGTCTTTCGATCTTTTACGTAACGGGACAAACAGAATTATGCCACTTGGCACAATTGTGAGTTCCCAAGGAGAGGAGTCAGCACTCAATTAAAAAATAAAAACAAAAAAAATGTGAGTGAAAGGGGACGTGTGCGGCACTCAGTGACACCAGGTCCCCTTCGCGTCACCCAACAACCCCAATAAGTAAATACCATAAACCAAATATCACATTGACAAATTAAAGAGTAAAAACCCCAAATGGGTCAAAGCCTACATAATTATGGTGGGTGGAAACTAATTGACTTTTAATCCCATCAAAGTCATATAAAAATCAATTATTTTTTTGTTATATTTATTAAAAAATATACCGAATACAGAAAATATTTTTCCTCCTAAGAATAAAGATGCCACCTGTTGTATAAAAAAAAAAAATCCCACTTGTAAGTCCAACTTCTTCTAAGATCGTTTTTTTTTTTTTAATTAAAAAAAACCAGGATAAGCACAAAATATTAAATAACTCAAATAATACCAATTTCGATTAAACCATTCCAATTTGCGCCCTTTTCCATTTCTCAACGCCTCTGTTTTTCTTCTTCTGCATTTCCACCACTCTGCGACATGGCCAGAGGAGCCTCACAATCTCAGTCCGCGGTTTCCGCACCCACGCGACCAGGGGGCATGGCTCCTCGCGGATCTGCTGCCGCCACAGCCGGCATGCGCCGCCGCCGTCTCGGCGGAGGAGGCGCCGGAAACAGCTCCGCCGGTGGAGGAGGAGGCTCCGGCGCGGGCGGTAACATGCTGAGGTTCTACACGGACGACGCCCCTGGGCTGAAGATTTCGCCGACGGTGGTGCTGGTGATGAGCCTCTGCTTCATCGGCTTCGTGACGGCCCTCCACGTGTTCGGGAAGCTCTACCGCTATAAATCTGGCGGTGGCGTTTGATTTTAGGATCCGATAACTTAGGTTTCCGATCCTTTTTGGATTTGAAGTTTGATCCGTACCCTAGGCGCTTCATTTTCGGTTCTCCATTCAAAACGCTGCGTTTTTTATTTTTATTTTTTTGTTCCCCTTTCCCACTTGCTATTTTGTAGCTGTGAGTGAAATGAACGAATCTTCTTACTGTTCTTGAAGGAAAAGTCGTTTCTTTTTGCCTTTCTGTGAAATTCGATCCGTGCCATTTATCTATTTTTTTTTAGGGACATAATATTGTAAGCACTAATTAATTGTTAGTTACCAATGTTGTTATATTGATAATTATCAACCAGTCGATAGTCGATCTAAACAGGTGGGACTTACTTTTTTTTTTTTTTTTTTTCAACTCTCTCTCCATTTTTATATACGTGTATCTATTTTTTTAATTTTAATTAGTTCATATCATAATATATTTAAATGGGGAAAGGATACGTTTACAAATATTTTTTATTTTCCATTGGAACCGATATCAATTTTCTACTTATGGTTGAATATGATTCACCATTTAATATATTTATTATATAACTATTAAGTTAAGAGAATTATTTTCAAAAATTGCATTTGATGGGATTTGAACCCCTTCCATTGAGGTTATACAACATAGCAAATACCACTAAACTACATCAAATTATTGTTTAGATGGCATCATTTAAAATATTTATTATATAATTCAGTATAAAATATAAATTTTTATAGGCTTTAATATTTTTAAAGTGAATGTAGATAAGTTATCTACATTCGCTTCCAAAACGACGTCGTTTTGGGTTGAAAAATTAAAAAATTATAATGAAAAAGACTATTATAACCTTGAAATAAATTATAATTACAAAAATATCTTGATTTTTGCCTCAAAACGACGTAGTTTTGGGTTCACTGTAGATAAGTTATCTACATTGACTGTAGAAAAAGCGAATCCATTTTTATATATATATCCGGTTCATGCGGTTCAGCCAGTGTCCCACTGTAACGCCCGACCGCTTCAAGAATCAATGATTATCCCCACACACTAACACGAGACTTTTCAGTGTGCTTTTTTCTCACTCGCACACTTCCTGGAAAAACTTCCCAGTAGGTCACCCATCGCAGAATTGCTCCAAGTCAAGCACGCTTAACTACGGAGTTCTTCCGTTCTGGGCTACCGAAAAGCAGATGCATCTTGTTAGTATAAGTAATACCAATTAATTCTTATAAGCTATCACAAACTGTGCAGTCTCATACCTACATAGTCTTTGGAATTTCGGGTGTCGATTTGATTCATTCATGCATATAACCCCCCACTGGAAGCCTGACAGGAGTCGCTCCTTGTCCATACCCTTTCGCACCGGCGATCACTCTGCGCCCTCGTCAGAGCCCGGGATGTTACATGCCCACCAGCTTCCGCCTGGTTCGTCCTCGAACCACACCGTACTGGAAGAGAGGCCCTGCTCTTCCGGGATGTTACATGCCCATCAGCTTCCGCCTGGTTCGTCCTCAAATCACACCGTACTTGAAGAGAGGCCCTGCTCTTATACCACTTGTAACGCCCGGCCGCTTCAAGAATCAATGACTATCCCTACACACTAACACGAGACTTTTCAGTGTGCTTTTTTCTCACTCGCACACTTCCTGGAAAAACTTCCCAGGAGGTCACCAATCCCAGAATTGCTCCAAGTCAAGCACGCTTAACTATGGAGTTATTCCGTTCCAGGCTACCGAAAAGCAGATGCATCTTGTTAGTATAGGTAGTACCAATTAATTATTATAAGCTATCCCAAACTGTGCAGTCTCATACCTGCTCAGTCTTTGGAACCCCTCTCTTTCGGGTGTCGATTCGATTCATTCATGCATGTAACCCCCCACTGGAAGCTTGTAAGGAGCCGCTCCTTGTCCATGCCCTTTCGCACCGGCGATCACTCCTCGCCCTCGTCAGCGCCTGGGATGTTACACCCACCAGTTGAACCATTGACCCAGTGACCCGGTACCTCGCCCGGGTCAATGATCGGTTCGGTTCTAATAACATTGGATATAACTTTGTGTCATTTTATATCTTAATTGTTGATTTCTGTCAATCAACAGTTATAGTTTATTAGATCAAACTTATTAATAATTAATAATTCGCAATAAATTATAACCGTCAATTGACGGAAATCAACGATTAAGATTTAAAATGACACAAAGTTATATTCTTTAAAAGGATAAATTTTTTTCCCTAAAATAAATATTTTTAAATTATACTATTAAAACATCTAATAATTTGAGTGTTTAGTAGATAAATAAGTTTGAAGTATGATTTTGATGAAAATTAAAAAATAATTAGTTTATAATGTAAATATGAAAGACGGAGAATTCAATAACTACTACCATAATTTCAAAATATTAATTGTTTAATTTTTTATATAAGATTAAAAAGTTATTAAAAACTCTTAATTTTAAGAGAATTATAAATATTTTAATAAAATTATTCTCTCGTTCAATTCATACTCTTTTCATGAACCAACATGTTTTGCTTCCAAAAACAAATAGGGGTAATCGTCAATCGTATATCGAGATATTAATCTCTTACAAATAATTTATTATTGAAATTTTTATTTTATCTTGAGAGATTAATGTCTCACCTTCAACCATATGTCGAGATTAATCTGAAAATACTTGACAAAATTTTATTACATTTTTTCACTTATAATTTTTTGTTTATTTTTTTAATCTCTAACCATAAGTGATTATCACTTATGAGATAAGATTGCTTAGAATTCATACACAAATAGCATTTGTCGTTTTTTATTTTTATTTATTTTGAAATATGGAGGGAAGAAAGTTAAAAGAAACGAAAAATGGAAAGGTTCATCATATATATATATATATAGTTGTCACTCGCTAGAAACAAAGTCATGCATTGGCATTGCCACGCTATCGTCTGTAAATCCCTTCGCGTAGCGTTCTCTGCGCTCAACGCTTCGTTTGCGTTTGAGATGGAACAATGCAGAGTAACAGAAACACAGACAAAATCAACAACCTTAATCTTCTCTCCCACAGACAAAATCAACAACCTTATTTTGTTCACTTTTCCCCTCAAAACAACAAACAGAGGAGAAACCAAATAATTAAAAAAAAACATGTCCGTTATCGACATTCTCTTCCGGGTCGACTCCATATGCCAGAAATATGATAAATACGACATTGATAAGCAACGAGAGCTTAATGCCTATGGCGATGACGCCTTCGCTCGCCTCTATGCTGCTGTTGAATCCACCATTCAAGCCGCTCTCAATGTTCCATTCTTTTCCCTCTTTTTCTTTTACTTTCTTGCTTTCTTCTCGTTAATTTTCTCTACCCCAATTGCTTTCTCAACGTTATAATTCACCAACCGACACAAATTTAGGATCTTTAGGCTTGAAAAAACGTAAACTGCTGAAGAAAATGATGCAGTTTTCTGTTTTTGTTGGAAATTAAGCGTTTTAAGAAGCACCCTTTCATGAGAGAAAAGAAAATCTTCTCTGGAATGTGCAGGAATGGAAAATGAGATTAAGCGGAATCAGATTATATATATATTAAAAATGAACTGTATGTTCTTCTTCTTCTTGAAATTTGAAGTGCTTATTTCAATGCAGAAATCCGAGGTTGCTTCTACGGAGAATAACAGGGCAGTTGCAGCGGCTTTGAATGCAGAGGTTCGTCGAGCCAAGGGTAGATTGATGGATGAAGTTCCTAAGCTGCGAAAATTGGTGAATAAGAAGGTGAATCTTGTTTCGGAGCTATTTGTAAATAACCATTTAAATCTAAAATCTTAAGTTTTTTAGTGAATATTTTTAAATGGTTTATATTATTCTCTAATACATATTATATTTGAAACGTCGATATTGTATGGACCCAATTTATTTTTTGGTTTTAGCTACTTATTTAATTTCACAAGTAGGAGTTATGAGCATCGAACTCGTGACCTTATGATCACAGAGGCTCTGATACTTATGTAAAGAACCACTTCAACCCCAGACGACGAATACCTTTTAAGGATTTATATTATTTTCTAACACTGTTTATAAACTCGAACATTTGAGTGGCGTATTTCTTTATTTTCTTTTTATTATGCTTCAGTTTGCTTTGTGTCTTGGGTTCGTCTTATATTCTACTAGCAATAGAAAAAGCAAGGTTTTGATTGCATTTGTAATTCTAATACTATCAGTAACAGGTTAAAGGTCTCACAAATGAAGATATGGCCATTCGTCAGGATCTTGTTATGGCATTGCCAGAAAGAATCCAAGCAATACCAGATGGTATCACCTCTGCTGCTACTCAAACTGGAGGATGGACTGCTACCACATCTCATCCACATATCAAGTTTGATTCATCAGGTGATCAGTGTTGCTGATACTAAATGCATTTTAATAGCAACATTTGAATTAATTTTTAATAATGGATTTCTTCTGTTATTCCCAACTTCAGAGGGACATCTTGACAGTGAATATTTCCATCAAAGTGAAGAATCCAATCAGTTTAGACAAGAGCATGAAATGCGCAAGATGAAACAGGCAAGCATGGTTCCTGCTTTATTTCAGTTACCTTGGTGTCTATGCTAAACTAGGAAGGCTTGAGGTTTATAGTCTTTTTTATTGTATTTGTCTGTCACCAGCTGATATACAGTTTCAGATTATTCAAATTTTTATTTGTATAGGATGAAGGGCTTGATATCATATCAGAGGGATTGGATACCCTGAAGAATCTGGCCCATGATATGAATGAGGTTTGTTATGATCCAAGCTCTATTTGGGAATTCCATTTAAAGATGTTTGATTTTGAGAGTGTAATCATTTTCCCCCCCAACTGTGTTCAGGAAATAGATCGGCAAGTTCCTTTAATGGATGAAATTGACACAAAGGTAAAGAAGTTATTCATTCGATCTTGCTTTTCTAACTATGTTCAAATAGATAGGTTTCAGAAATAATATTGCAAGTATGTCACAAATGCATTACACGGTGCTTTGTGCATGGCCTGATTATACAGGTAGATAGGGCAACAGCTGATGTGAAAAACACTAACGTAAGGCTGAAGAAAACTCTCACCGAGGTAAATGACGTGATTAATTGCACTCTTTTTATGTGGAAATTTGCAAGTTTCCAATGAATTGCATTTTTGTTTCCTCTCCAGCTGAGGTCTAGTCGAAATTTCTGCATTGACATCATTCTGCTGTGTGTTCTTCTGGGAATCATTACCTATATATACAAGTAAGTCCGAATCATTCTGCATTGACATCATTCTGCTTTCTTACATCAAAAGCAAGATGCTGGTTTGATAATAAAAAGAAGAAATTAAGAAAGAGAATGCTACCTCTGCAAATAGATATACATTGCATGCTCTACTTCTAGTTTGACATATATGTTGCTCAATTAATCAGAGCCAAGTGAGGTTATCCATGTCTATGATTTTGTAGCATGTACCAGCCTCAGCCTACACACATGTTTTGTGGCCTTGTTTGTATTGTGCTTGTGCAGTACCCTATATCTGAATGAATTTTTATTTTCAAATAATGCTTTGATTTAGTAGTAATAGTAGTCTCTGATTATCCTAATGTGCATTGCATTAATATATTGGCTGAGTCATGTGATAAATTTGGTTACATACGTATGTATATTGGTCATGTTGTGATGGTGGGAAAGTGGATGCACTTTCTTTAGTTGCCTTAAAGCCAATTAACAAGAATGGGCCATATAATATTACTGGAAGCATGATCTTTTTTCTGCTGAAATTGTATGATTGGTATTCATTGGCTGTGAAGACGATAGGTCTGACACATTAAATAGTCAGATTTAATTTATTCATCATGTCAAAACATGCAAAGTGTTGATATTTATTTATTTTATGCTAATTCTTTTCTCTCTTTCTTCCACCGGTGTAAACAATTTCTTCTCTTTGTTTCAGTGCACTGAGGTGACTTGATCTTGATCTCTCTCCCTTGTTGTATCTGTTGTACCATGGTATTACATCCTTACAATATGTGAGGGCTTTCTGTGTAATTTTCCAATATTAATTATGGTTCAGCTGCTAGAGGATGGAAACAGAATATATTACCAATGTGCTTTGTAATTCTTTGATGTATTAATGTGTCACTGGGATATGTCATCACTCTTTCCTATAACTCCTTAAGTACCTTTGCTTGCGTATCTATTTCTCTTAAGACGAAATTCTATGTATATACAAGTTAGAAGATTGATGTTTGGCGCGTCTCTCTTGTTACACCATACTTACATCACCTCTCACACACAACTTTTTATTGTTAAATATTAACTCAATTTATCATTTATATTAAGTCAATGGCTGAAACACATTATGCAAGTGTAATGTTAAAGTTCTTATGTGCATGTACATTTATGCTAGTAAGTTCATGACATTTATGCTGGTTCAACGCTGAAAGTGTTTGTATTGGAATTTGGAAGGGGGCACATAACAATGGCAAATAAGCTTAGTACTTCAAATATCATTTTGAAATAACAAACAACTCATGTAGGTTGAAGGAACATAAATTGTATTTACAAAGTTATCTTTACTAAGTAGGACAACATTCTAGTTGAACTGAAATAGTGCACGCTGAAGAACCTAATTGGCCAAATGACAAGCTTGTTTATTTGGCCATGGCATTATTCACATTGTTTTCAAGGAATATCATGAATACATGGAAACTTCTATATCTAGTTATAGCGCCAAGTTCCAGGTAGCAATATTTATAAACATGTATAAAGAAATAGAGCAATGATTGGCTTGAATATTGGAGGCCTGTCGTCTTCCCGGTTACTTCTCCGTCTTAAGTTGTATAATCCATGAAAATCTACCTGTGAAGTAAAGGATCGTTGACTATCTTATATTTAGTCAATTCATCACTGAGGATACCTTCCTGTAAAGGCTAATTCGTTTAGCTCTTGGAAATTGATGCTAGAATCTGGTGTGGTCCCACTGAAAATGTCATCTTGAGACTGATTTTGGTTATAGCAGCTCAATTCTCTATTGGTCAACACCTTGCTAGGAGATACCTCTATTTTGTTCTCATTGTTGAGCTTCCTGTTAAAAGAAATGAGATTTTCATATTGATCATCCTCGTTAGATTTTCTTTTCAGTGGGTTGAAGTAACTGTCCAAAGAAGGAGTTGTCGTTTGAGAATTCACTTTGTTGAAACCATCTTGGTAAACAGAAGTTATATTCTTGTCTTTGCTTTCCTTAAGGCCTAGACATGGCATGTTCTGAGTGGGAGGTATAGGTCCACCAACAAGAATAGAGGCTATGATCTGATAGTCTCTATATTGATAATCCGTGACCATGTCAGGCCTCAAGTTTATGTATGTTGGGTATTCTTCACTCCTCGGTATATTTGCTGGCAAGTTTGGTTCACAATGATTCTCTTGATTTTCACATAAATTCTTGGATGAGTAACCCTTATGTCGAACCCGGCATAGTACCCAGTCATCCAACTGTGACAGCAAGAGACAGGCTTATTATTATTGCATCGAGTTCAAGTATTATGAATAAGGGATCACACAGTTTCATATGCACATATGAGAAAAGTACGAATAAACCATGCATGTTACTTACCTAGTAGAAAACAATCTCCCGAGAGAAGATACTGTAACTAATGTTCTCCCAGAAAAAGATAGTATAGTTTATAAGAGTTTGTAAACAAAAAAGTTTGTAAATATAACCTGTCCTTAATAACTATGTTGATGAATTGGCCTTTCATGAGTTTTTAGTTTTAAGGGTGGTAAAGGGATCAATACCAAAATTCTATCCCCGAAGGTAATTTGCCTTTGGTGTTATCAAGTATCAAATGGAATGACTAGTTTGTGAAGTTCAAGTCCCTGCTTGAAAATATCCCATTATCTTAAACCACTTATTTTCTTTCATAAGGAACAAAATTATTGTGTTACATGAAAACTTACCCTCATGGAACCTTTTAGTGTGGAGGGTTTGTTAGTTGTGTCCACCAATCTATATTCATTCATGATCCAATCTGTCTTAGTCCCCTTAGGAGGTCGACCTGAATAAAATACCAGAGCTTTCTTCACGCCTATGCGCTTTGATCCACAAGAAGTGAGAATTGGCTTGTCAGTTCCTGTTGCCTTCCAATATCCTGAAGCTGCTGCTCTGTTTGGCCTTAATCCATTAGGGTACTTTCTGTCCCTGGGGCTAAAGAAATACCATTCTTCCTCCCCAAACAAAGACTTCTCTGCACAATCAGAAGAAAAAGTAAAAAAGAAAAGAAAAGAAAAAGCAAAATAGATTCATTTTTCTCAGCTAATAATGATAAAAAAGACATGGTGAAAACAAGGAGTGCATAGGAAAGGACGAACTAGGTAACTCCCACGGATTATACTTGTACAGATCTATTTCAGCTATAATGGATGCTGGAAGTGGACGTGAACTGATTTTGTTTTGCAAGTAATGAACTATGAGTTCCTCATCAGAAGGGTGGAATCTGAAACCAGGTGGAAACGTGAGATTATTAGAGCCTTGTTGATCTCCCTCCATCAAAGAATACTTTGTTCTTGACAAAGTGGAGACCAAAGGAATCAGTACTAATTAAGTGCCGATGATACCAATTTGGCTCGCTTTAAATAAGAGAGTAAAGTGTCATGTGCATTATATATGGCTCTAGTCCCATGCAGACGCTAACATTGTGGAAAAGATGTAAGAGAAAGGAACCAATCAGTGGCATGTAAAGTTTTAGAGAAAAAGACACAGAAGCCAACCAATTTGGCTTTACTCAATAAATTGACCTTCACCTACGTAACTAACAACTTGCGCATGCGAGATGCTGAGTGATAATCTATTATCTGCTTCACACCTCATCAGCACAATGCACAGTAGTTCTGCTATAAATTGAGCATTGCATAAAATTAAAATTAAGATTTTAAATTGGTATTGTGGCATGATAATAAGTTAGTGTCCCTTTACCAAACCGTATTGTAGATAGTACTCCTGTGCAAAAGAAATATGTATCCATAATGAAGAAGATTAACAGCTGAAGAGAAGTTACTTGTTTGATTGGATTACATAATACAGATAGCAATTTAATAGCCTCTGATACTGACTCTATTAAACAGATAGCCAAAACAATAGGATAAACAAAATTTCGCCTAGTGATGAGGGTTTGCGTAGTTTGTCATTGTATTACAAAATTGCTAAGGGTGTCTTTGGCTTTTGTTTTTCATATTATTTTATGGGAAAAGTTTTTGTCCTTTTAAATGACACAATTTATATTCTTTCACTCTCACAAAGAGGTATGACCCACACCTTTATATTTTTTTGTCAACTCTCTCTCCTCCTTTATCTATCTCTTTCTCTCACTTAAAATGACACAACTTTACATCCTTTAAAATGATACACACTTTTCTCTTATTTTATAGCACACTTCAAGTCCGAACAACTTGATTGTGGAGAATTTATACTATTACCATCCTGCTAGTTTCCTTCAATTAAAAGTGGCATTTTTCAACATGACCCGCTTACATGACACAAAAAAACCTTGTTTGGGTTGAACCGTTTTCAAATTCGTACCATTTTCGTATTGGCAAAATATGACACTAGAAAATTCGGGTTGTGTGTCAACCTGCAAACATGAAATTAATGTGCGTTAATCTTCTTACAGGTTATTCGTGTTGTGTTGTGTAATGTCATATCATGTTGTGTAATGTCAATTTACATAATAAGTGATACACTTTGATATTGATAAGTTATTCGTTTTATGTTAACTCACATAATATGTAACAGCCTCAAACCCTGCAGCAGGATATTGTCCGCTTTGCCCCGCGCACAAGCACCGTCGAGCTCACGGTTTTACGTTTCGGGTTACCCCCAAAAGGCCTCCTACAAGGAAAGGTATCCACACCCTTATATAAGGCATGCTTCGTCCCCCTCTCCAACCGATGTGGGACATTACATCCTCCCCCACTGGGAATACAGCGTCCCCGCTCTACACACCGGTCCAGGGCCAGGCTCTGATACCAAATGTAACAGCCTCAAACCCTGTAGCAGGATATTGTCCGCTTTGCCCCGTGCACAAGCACCGTCGAGCTCATGGTTTTACGTTTCGGGTTACCCCCAAAAGGCCTCCTACAAGGAAAGGTATCCACACCCTTATATAAGGCATGCTTCGTTCCCCTCTCCAACCGATGTGAGACATTACATAATAAACGACACACTTTGAGGTTAGCAGATTATTTGTGTCGTGTTGTGTCGTGTCAATCCACAAAATAAATAAGTCATGTTTGTGTTGAAGGTTTTGATATGTTTCCAAATTCATATTGTGTCTGTATTGAGTGTATTTGTATTTGTGTCAAATTCGTTTCATGTCGTGTCAACTTAAATTGCCATGGTACCTTCAATTTTAATGCCATTCAGATGGGTTTCTCTTTTTGACAAATCAACTATATAGTATATAGTATATAGTAATAGCTTGTTTATTTTCCCCATCTTTTGTGTTTTCCAAAAAAATCACTCAAAAAGTTTATCTTATTTATAGAATAAATTTTTAGCGCTCCCTCTATCCACTTAAATTAGAAATATATAAACTCATTGACATTAAAAATGAAGAAGTGGTTAGGAAACAAAAAAGAAATGAAGCAGTGGATGGAACAAATATAGTTAAGTGAATCATGTGTTTTTTATTTAAATGGATGGAGTATGTACTAATGGAATATTGAAAGGACTCATGTATTCATGATGTTCTTCAAGTGATGAATTCAATGCATCAGATACCAAGGACTCCTGTATTCATCCCATTGGTATCTGGCAAGGAGTAATTCCTGTAAAAATTTAAACTCTAACGTAGAAGTTCATATATGGCTTTTTTATAACAGTCAGGGTATAATAGTACTACAGTCTCACAAGAATTAAAGATGCTCTTTAGAGCGTAGTGACTCTCATGGCATAGAGAACTACGAGAGTTGTCTTATTTCAAAGACATAATAAAGTTTCGTGGTTCTTGAAATGTCAAAGAGTTTTTATTGCCTTGAAACTTCCTCATTTGAACATTAGCTTTGTCCTTGTTTCTTGTCTTTTCTTCCTCTTTTCCTGAAATAACACTTTAGAGCTTCTAAACAGTGTGAATCATAAACACCGGGTTACGTGGGGGCGACACTACACCTTGCGGGAACAATCACCAAAGTGTCACGTTTGGATAAAAAATTTACCAGACTGCCACGTCAACAGTAAATTTTGCCAAAATGCCACGCGGCATAATTCGCTACACAGTGTAGCGAATTATGTGTGCAAGTAATTTGCTACACAGTATAGCGAAATATGCCAAGTCAGAACGCACAGAACCAAAAATGACACATGTCAAACTTTGCAAAATTCGCTACATAGGGTAGCGAATTTTGCAAAATTTGACATGTCGCATTTTTGGTTCTGACGTGGCATATTTCGCTATACTGTGTAGCGAATTACTTGCATACATAATTCGCTACACTGTGTAACGAATTATGCCGCGTGGCATTTTGGCAAAATTTACTGTTGGCGTGGCAGTCTGGTAATTTTTTTGTCTAAACGTGACAAAATGATCACTCTCCCCACCTTGCGTGAGCTTGTGAATTATTATTATTATTTTAATTTTCTAATTTGTTAACAAAATGGTCGTGCGGGAATACATCTTCTCTTGTCTTGATTTTACGTAATCACTTCATATGAAAAATTTAAATCATTTATTCAGAGATGAACAATCAAAATTTTAAAGAAAAAGTTCATAAAATGAAAAAGTGAAAATTAGAAAGAAAGAAAAATTCATAAAAACAAGATTAAAGTACATTTTTAGATCCTCAACAAATATAATATTAATATTACGGGGCTCAATTTAATATGTAAAGAACGAATTCAACCTAAAAATTTAAACTGTTGGTTAAGGCTATATTAATGATTTTATATAACTCAACAGGCCTTCTCACACAAGAGCCCACTGGGTTTGCCTCATAAAAAGAACTAGCGAGTTGATGTATCATTACCCTGATGATATAACATACATAATAAAGTAAAGGTTTATTCTCTCTCGCACGATAAGTCGAGTAAACAATAAGAATAATATAAAAAACACAAAGATAGAATTCAACAACCGTACGAGCATCTTTTTGTATTGCATACGGCTCTACTTATGGGGTATGGAGTCTTTTTTTACTTTCCACGAGTTCCATCGAAAAAGAAAATAGAAAATATACCGACTCTCTCATATCCTAGATCCATAAATGATTCAATAACCAACCTTAGTGGGGGTTGTAAGGATCGACCCGGTACATCGAGGCTCTGATACCATGTAAACAACTAATTCAACCCAAAAGCTTAAGCTGTTGGGTGAAGCTAATATATCTTAACATAATTTTTTAAGAAAAAAAAAATTGACTCGTGGTCACTGTTAAATTCAAAATAGACCCATATTAGAATTAACGTGAGTATTCTTTAAATTTTAGAAGGACTAGGATTTCGACTAACTCAATCTATTTTGAATTTCAGGAACCACAAATAGATTTTTTTTCTAAAAGATTAAAATGCCCCGTAATTTTTGTTGAATACTCAAAATATACTTTACTTTAAAATAAAAAAGTGAAAATGATCACTTTATGAATGACAAAAATCTTTCACATTATATAATTCTGTTAAACCAAGACGTACATGAGATGATTGATTATCATATTTAACCTTTGCACGAACATTATGGTTTCTAACAAACCGATGAAACCCAGGTTTTGAGTTTGTTGGTGAGCAGCGAAAGCAGCTTTAGATTTGGAACTTACCTTGCATAATTAAGTCGTAAATAACCACTACAGAGAGGTTCACGTTGAAAGAAAAACTTAGTTCCAATCGACTTAAGTTGTCTTTTTTAATTAGCCCATTAAGACATGGAATCCTGGGGGGATTTCATGCGTCCATCACAAAGCTTATCTAGTTGTGAAGCGTTTATTCTCCAGCAATGTCCTCCGACTTTTCAATTTTCATGAGGTTGAGTTCTGTGACAAAATTAAACTGGACTTTGACTATATGTCATAAATAATCCAAAATGTAGTACATTATTTTAATAGTGTAAAAAGTTTGATAAATTTAATTTAATTCATTAAAGGTATCTATGCTAATGGCATAAGAATTATACTTGTGAGCTAATGAATTTATAAAACACAAATATGAAAATTTTAATATATTATATATTCTAAACGTATATTTAAGATCCTTAAATGATAAATTGGTTAATTATGACATGAAAAAAAAATTAAACCTCTGTTTAGTTAAAATTATACTTAATTATAAAATAGAATTTCTTCTGTTAAATAAAAGTTTAAGAACTTGTTACATTTCAAGGTTAATTGGGAATTTAAGGTAGTATTTACGAGTAATTTATTAATAAAGAATTACTAGCAAATATTAAATTTGAAACCTTTTCTTCTCAATGATATAATTCGATTTTACTGATTGAAATTTTTTTTAAAAAAAAAAGCATTGATAGATGTGCTTTCTAAAGCTAAAACCATAAATAAAATACTTATTGT